TGTTCTTTTCCTTGAAGGTTTGAAATATCTCATCTGCTAAATCGTTTGGTCTTTTCTGAAGTTCTTTCTTTGGAAATGTATTTATTTTCTCATTAAATTATTGGCTTTTTCTAAAATAAAAAATCAGAATTGTCCATTTGAAGTTTTAAAATTTATTTCTGTGGACATGTAGTATATTCACTTATAATTTTTTAACTTTCCATATTTATTTTATCCCTTTTCTCTTTTTAAAGTTTTTCTCTCCTTTTATCCTTGATTAAATTTGCCAGAAAGTTGCCAATTTTATTGTAACTTATTTTTTCTCAAAAGAAACAGATTTTAAATTTTAGTTTATTTTTCATTCTACTGCTTTTCTCTTTTCTGATTCCGTACTGTTTTTTTGTGTGTGTGTGTGAGGAAGATCAGCCCTGAGCTAACATTCGTGCTAATCCTCCTCTTTTTGCTGAGGAAGACCGGCTCTGAGCTAATATCTATTGCCAATCCTCCTCCTTTTTTTTTTTCCCCAAAGCCCCAGTAGATAGTTGTATGTCATAGTTGCACATCCTTCTAGTTGCTGTATGTGGGACGTGGCCTCAGCATGGCCGGAGAAGCAGTGCGTTTGTGCACGCCCAGGATCCGAACCCGGGCCGCCAGTAGCGGAGCGCGCGCACTTAAACGCTAAGCCACGGGGCCGGCCCAGTACTTTTTTAATAACAACTTTATTGAGATATAATTTACATATGCCAAAAAATTCACCATTTTAAAGTGTATAGTTTAGTAATTTTAGCATGAATTGTGCAACCTTCTGATTCATTAATTTTTTTGTTTTTGCTTTACTATTTTCTTCTTTCTTTGAGGTTACACATTTTTGTTTCTTTTCTCACTTGTTAGGCTAATACTTTTATTCCTTTTAAAATAATAAAATAATTTTTGACTGTGCATTTACGCCCTTAATATAGCTTTGGCCACATCAAATAGATTTTGCTATGTACTTTAGTTAATTTTGATATAATTTTAAATTAGTCTGTATAGAAAAACTTAGTATAACAAAGTGTAGAAAAGCTAAGCATGGTACCAAGACTTAAACAAAATTTAAAAAATCAGACATAACCCACCATCCAAATATAAAATACAGTTTGTATCTTGGTTTATTTCCTTCTAGTCACTTTTTTTTTTCCGAATAGAACTTAAAATTCAGACCAGAAACATATATTTTACCAGATTGGATCATGTTATATTTAATTGTCTATATTCTTTTTTTTACTTAACATTATATTGTGAATATTTTCCATGTCTTCAAAAACATATTTTTGAAATGGCAACTTAGTATTATATACCATCACATGAATGTAATATTTATTTTACTGGTTTGTTAAGTGTTTCATTTTATAAATGTTACAAGATTTTCTTATAGTAGATCACTAAAAGTGGATGATGAGGCAATGGAAGGCTGCTGATACATATTACCAAATTTCCTTCCAGAATTATATACCTACTGGCAGTATATGAGTACCTTCCTCACTGCAGTGTCAGCATTAAATATTGGAATACATATCTGAATTTTTAAATTGGCTTCTAAATAATAATATCATAATAATATACAATGTGTCCTATTCACTTACATTGGTATACAGTTGGAAAATAATTTATTTTCAGGGATATATTTAGAAGTAACATTGCTCAATATAGGCATTACAAAGATTGTAGAGCATTAGATATTATCATGGGAGGGCACCTTTTTCAAATTTAAAGGGTGAAAATGTACCAGGAACTCTTGACAGAATGTCATGTTTTCAAATTGTAGGATAAATGTATGTGTGTGTGTGTGTGTGTGTGTATTCATATATTCAGCCTTATATTGTTTAATTCAGTGTCCATTCAGACTCACCACCTGCTCTAAAATAGTGTCCCATCCTTTTCCAGTTCTTGCTTTTGTTTTGTAATAGAACCCATCACTTTTTGACTCAATTTTTTGTATGTGTGTATTTGCATATTGTCTACACTACACAGGTTTCTTGTGATGTCTTTGTCTGGTTTGGTATCAGGCTAATGATGGCCTCAAAGAATGAATTAAGAAGTGTTCTCTCCTCTTGCATTTTTTGGAAGAGTTGATGAAGGATTGGCAGGCATAAAAGAACCGAAACTTAAATGATTGATTCCATTTATATGTAGGCAAAAATGAGGCAAAACTAATCCATGGTGTTAGATGTCAGGATAGTTTCTTTAGGTAGTAGAGAGAGGGTGGCAATTAGGAGAGGCCATATAGTGGGTTTCTGGGGTACTTATAATGTCCTCTTTCTTGACCTAGTTGGTGATGACACAGTATATTCACTTTCTGAGAACTTTTTGAGCAGTATACTTATGATCACTGTTTATGTATGTTTTTTTTTTTTTTT